TCTGAGTTAGGGATTTATATTTTAATTAATTACGAATTGCATCCAGTGTTTCTCGATAACTAGATAACTTTTTTTTTATTCTTAAGGTGCATGAAATGTTACAGTACCTTTTTATTAGTAAATGAAATACATATTCACTCTCTATGGGTAAGATTTGAAGTCAATCATTGACGGTCTCTGGAACGACAGGGTAAGAATTTCCAAAGTGTCCTAGTCATATGACATTATATGAACTTCGGTTGGATGGATGTCTTCAAAGTCACTCTGTACTTTTGTGATATAACCTTACAGTCTTAAAAATATAAAAGAAAAGGCTGTGTATCTTGATTTGTTGATATAACTCAATCAATAAGTCAAGTGTCCGTGATCATTGGACTTACCCGTTTTCCGATTTTGGACACTTCACTCGCGGTGGTGGATTAGATAAGATGCAAAACCTTTTAGATCTTAGTGTGTAGAAAACAATATAAGTTGCAAAGTAGTCAGGGTTTTTTTCCATTTTGTTCGATGCCCCCACATTGTTTTGCTTGTAATTAAAAATCATACCAGAATATTAAGTACTTTAATGTTTTTTTTCCAATGGCTTTTTATGTGTAAAACTTATAACAATTTCTCCCTTTTTAAAAACTTTGTATGTCAATACAAACTTCGATGAAATCGTGTTTTGCAGCGACCGCGATACAACTTGAAACATTGTAACAAAATGTTAGGGGTTTTGGAATGGTACAAAAAAGGAGGAAAGTGTATGCCTCTACCTTAATACGTTTTGATACACTCCAGCAAGTCAATCATAGCGCGATACTTTTTAGATATATTCCACGTAGTCTCAGATAGGGATTTGCATTTTCATTAATTGCGAATCGCAAGTTTCTTGATTAAACATTTTACTGTAAAGGTGTATAAAACATTTTTGCGACTTTTCAGTGGTAAATCAAATACATATTCACTCTATATGAGTAATATTTGAATTCAACATTGAGCATGACGGTCATATGACATGGTATTGACTTTGGTGGAACGAATGACTTCAAAATCATTCTGTACCTCTTTTTTAATGACATGCTAAAATATAAAAGAAAAGGCTGTGCAACTTTATTTGTTGATATAATTCAATCAGTAAATCAAGCCAATGTCCAGGATCATTGGAACTATCTTCTTTTTTCTTCTTTTTTCTTTTCTTTTTTACTGAATCTGAGAAACACATTTAAAATTTCCATAGCATTTTGAAGCAAGCATTGGTGTGTATAATCAATATAAGTTGCAGAGTAGTCATACGAAGCTTCCACAATGTTTGGCTTGTAATTAAATATCATACCAGTACATCAAGTACTTCACTGATGTTCTTATTTGAGTACAAACTTCGATGATACAGTGTTTTGTAGCTACCATGATACACCTTGAAACAATGCATCGAAGTATTATAGGCTTCGGGATGCAACAAAAAAAGGCCTTGAGTTCGTGGTTTCTGCTACGTTACAGCTCACTCGTTCAGAAACCGTTACTAAGGTATGTCATTCAGATTTTTGGAAGAACGATTCTTTTTCAAGTTAATATGAAATCTGGTCGACTTTTCGTGATACTAAAAGTCGAATTTTGTTTTTGGGTCTCGTTCTGGTAGTTTTAAACACGTTCAGAAGTTATGCTCGACTGCATATTGTCTGAATTTAACAGGCACTAGTTTTAAGGATTCATGGTTTGTTAATACCTGTCATCTTGTGTATAACTTTACCAGTGACTAGATTAAAATCACTTAAAGTTTATTCTCGTACTTTGTCGTCTGCAAAAGTGTGTGGTAAAGAAGAGAGGGGGGGTGGCAGACAGAATGACAGTCAGTCAGACTGACAAACAGCTAGTCAGACAGACAGAGAGGGAGGGAGGGAGAGAGGGAGAGATAGAGATAGAGAGAGAGAGGGGGGGGGGGGGGAGAGAGGGAGAGAGAGAGAGAGAGAGAGAGAGTGACTGAGTGAGAGCGACCGAGCGAACGAGAGAGAGAGAGAGAGAGACCGAGTGACCAAGCGAGAGAGAGAGAGAGAGAAGACAGACACACAAAGAGAGAGAGAGAGAATATGAATATGGTCAATGGGTGACACGTGCCTTGATGGCCCGTGACATGTGCAATGGCGCGGGAAAATTCAGTTTTGAAGGTCTAGTCCTAGCACAATTTCGTTACGGGGGATGAATATGTATTATCCTTGTTTATAGAGAACAATATTATCTCCTAAAACAGCCACGTGCTATACATGCAGGAACATACACCGACACATGCACGCATTCACGCTCACACACACACACACACACACACACACACACACACACACACACACACACACACACACACACACACACACACACACACACACACACACACACACACACATCAATACATACAAACACACTCAAGTATGTATATATATATATATATATATATATATATATATATATATATATATATATATGTGTATGTATGTATATCACATACATACAGTTATCTAGTTTAACTTCTTACATAATATACATTGGACTGTTTTTATTATTATTTCTCTTGTTTTCGTTGTTTTTCTACAATTATCATAACAGAACTATTTTCAAAGAAAATTAGCTTAAAAAATCACTTGCCATAAATTATCATACGGATTGACCGGGTCAAAAGGGGAGAAGCTAATGACGTCATCACATTTAGCCAATGAGAGTGTGCTGTGAAAAATCAGATATTTATTTGTGTAATATAGTCGACATCTTTATCATTACCAGAATTTTTAGAAAATGAATAAAATAAATGTGATAACGAAGAGTTCCTAAAAATTAACAGCCGTCAGACTACTCTTGGGAAAATGTCAGTTCCTATTTTGGGTTCAAGAGGCTAAATGGAGATGAAGCTACCTGGTTTTACGTACCCTGGGTAAGACGATTATACCAAAATTTATGAAAAAACAATGGAAAATGTTCAGTCCCCCACAATTTTCCTCCCGCTTGCATTGTCTCGTAATGATTTTAAAATAACATCAGTTTCTCTTGTACAATTGTTGTCAGTTGCCGTCATAATACTGCTCTGCTCCCCGCCTCCGTCTCTGCTAGTTTGTCATATTACAAACAAAATGAAATTTATATTTTCGATTTGTATATCATGATTATATATTGAGTTTTCTTGCCTTCTTTGTCAGCTCCTTTGGCTAAGAAAGAAGGAAAACAGCTATAAATGTCTAGGAAAAAAATAATAAAAGCGACTTCTAACAAACTAATGAACCCGAAAAAGACGGTATACGGAACAGTGGGATGTGAGGGGCGGAACCCCTGTCACAGTTAAGCAATTATGTCATTTGTCCTTCAATAAGCTTTCCCTGCTCTCCTGGAAGGACGTCGGCAAAGCTGGAATTCAATTTCGCTATTCCTGGGGGATTATAAGTGGCAGAGTTACCGGCTCACAGGAAGGGAAAATGGGAAACTTCTACACTGTTTTTGTCATCGATTATCAACATTAACAGTTCCTTTAACTTTTCATCTTTAACCGATTTATACTATAACAAAGAAGCCTAAGCTCTCCCCCGACGCTAAGTTCATTAAAGGGAGCTCCTGTTTGATGATTCTTGTCGAAGGAACGTGATGAAAATAAACTGAGAATTGCATAAAAGATTCCGTTGCTGTGGTCTTCATCAGAGGTTCTAGTGCTTCAGTTAGAGCAATATATATATATATATATATATATATATATATATATATATATATATATATATATATATATATATATATATATATACGTATATATATATATATATATATATATATATATATATATATATATATATATATATATATATATATACATATATATATATATATATATATATATATATATATATATACATATATATATATATATATATATATATATATATATATATATATATATATATATATATATATATATACGTACGCGTACCACTGGAGCTCATTTTAGGACGACACTGAGAGAGTGTCGGCGAGAATCCATCATCATCATCATTATCATCATCATCATCATCATCATCATTATCATCATTATCAATATCATCATCATCATAGTCATCATCATCATCATCATATATGTATATATATAAATATATATATATATATATATATATATATATATATATATATATATATATATATACGTACGCGTACCACTGGAGCTCATTTTAAGACGACACTGAGAGAGTGTCGGCGAGAATCCATCATCATCATCAATATCATCATCATCATCACCATCATCATCATCACCATCATTATCATCATCATCATCATCACCATGTTACGCTAAGTTCATAACTGAAATCGTATTCCATGTGGCTGCAAACTTGAAATTACTTCATTCTGATTTCAGGTGAGCATCTTGATTCCTCTGTGTGTAAAATTGGGGGTGGTGATTGACAACAATGATGTTAAAGAACTGCGCGCGGATTATATTACGAATCTATGATAATGCTGTTCTGGTTCTCTTAGAGTTATTAGTATTATCTTCATTATCATTATCATTATTACATTGATTATTATTATTATCATTTATTATTATTACTATCATTTGTTATTATTATTATTGTTATTAAGGTTATCATCATTATTATTACTATTATCATTATCATCATTATTATCATTATCATCCCTCTTGTTCGAGGCAAGTATACTGCATCGAAATAGTTAGACCGTCAGTTTATGCACATTTATTATTAACACAACGGAGGAGGTTAAGAAGGGGGGGGGGGGGGTAAGAGGGGAAGGAGAAAGAAAGGGGGCGGGGTGGGGGGGGGGGGGAAGGGAGCTTAAAGAGACAAGGGAGATAGGGAAGGGGAAACGGAGGGGACTTGAAAAGGAAATGAGGATGGGGAAGGGGAAAGGGAGGGGAGAAAGGAGAGAGGACTTAGAGAGAGGGAAGAAGGGGAATAAGAAAGCGAAGGAGGACGTATAAGGAGGAAGAGGAGAGAAGTAGGAAAGGGCAAGTGTAAGGAAGGGAGGAGTGAATTAAATGA